CGGTTATTATGAAGAAATCCCGTTTTATCCCAGTCAATACTGCTTTAGAACAAACGATGTATCGAATATCGATACACAATGATCGATATCCTTCCTGTTATCCCGGATTATTAATATAGGTACATCCCGTTTTTCTAGGACTATCCTGTATAGGTAATAATCCTCCCTTTTATCCTGGTTATTAGAAGAAATACATCCCATTTTTATACCTGTCTACCTATCAATAATTCCTTTACGGAAGAATACATTTAAATTTCCCGGGGATTTTCAATGCCGTTTTCTGATTGGTTAATGAAAGACCAATGAGAATGCGAAATGACACGGACGTACACACAAAAAAGGCCTTATTTTTTTTTACTATAGTAAGATAAGATAAGATAAGAAAATTGCTAGGATCGTCAACATCGAAGCGATTACCCTCGATCTTATCAGAATACTATTTCTATAAAATCGCGTTCGATAAAATCGAAATTTTACCTCAATTAATCACGACTTTTTGTTCGATAATATTGCGATAAAACGCCGTCGATAAAATCGCGCAATTTTATTGCAGATTTTGGCGATGAAATGACATTTTATCGCTATTTTTTATCCGATAATATTTTGCAATTACCTAATCGACGTCGATAATATCGCAACCACTTTTACTTGAGTATCAATTTTAGTGGCTGTGAGTTATAATTTATTCAAAATTTCAGTGTTGTACAACAGGTTTTCAAAAGTACGACACAGGACTTACAGAAATGTTTTCTGACAAGTCGTAGCACTCCATGCTTGATCAAGATGTTTACCTACTTTTTCTTTCTTTTTGTCACCCCTACCCTATTTTTCTCAATTTCCCTGGCCAATGTGAAGTAGGTAACCGATTTTTGCTCTTGTTTATTCTCATCAATATACTTGAGTATTTCATTATTATTGGCCCAGTGCCTTTCAGGGGTATTTATTGACCACGTTAAGCAGAAAGGGACCAAGCCACATCAGCTACTGCCAAATTTAATCGGGTATTTCAATTTTCTCATGAAAACGGTTGTGCGGATTTTGCGCAACTTTCAGTGTTTATCCTGCGTAAAACGAGGGAAATTCCTCATAATTGTCAAAGGAATTCGCCCAAACGTCTCTTGTAAAAAATTAAATTGCCCAGTTTTTGGCATTGGCTGATTGGTTTGCTTCCTTTCTGGTAAACGCGGTCCATTTATTGAGAAAATTCATTTTGACCGTGCCACAAAAATTGCAAAGTTCAATTATGAGCTAATGCGCACCCCTAGTGGAAGTCAGCCTTGTGCAGGTCCGTGCGGCGGAAGGCTAGGTCCGTGCAAGTCCCCGTCACCTCGTGCAGCCATCTGCGAAGGATGGGATTCCCGAAATTATGCCTTTGTTTCGCTTCCCTCTGCACGGGCTCACGGGAGGTGACGGGGACTTGCACGGACCTAGCCTTCCGCCGCACAGACCTGCACAAGGCTGACTTCCACTAGGGACATCCATGATTCATTTTTCATTGGCTCAAATCGACGATGAAACTCCAAAACTTTGTATCTCGATTTGCAATGTTGAAGATTTCCTGTCATACTTTATTTTTCATCGAAAAACTATTCAACGCGAACCCGTACAAACTTCGGTGATTTTTCTTCTCAGTACGAAGTAAACTCTGTGACAACTTAAAAGAATGACGGCGATTTCTGCGCTTTGCCTTCGAAGAAAATAAAATGTAAGCAGCGCAGCGAGTTTTTAAAGCACTGCGAAGGAGATTATTATGTGGTTTGGCAGTTGCGCCGTCGAAATGCGCAGCATTCAGGAGTTGAAAAATGTTTTTATTCGTTATTGCTTACCTTTCCTAAAATTGCTTCCCGCTCCGTACTGTGCTGCATAGACCGCAAGCGAGTTGGAATGTACCAGAAACTAACATTCACACACTCTGGTTCAAGGAGGAGGTAGTATTTATCCGGCATAGATTTTATACGAGCGACCATGTACTCGCTCAGTTCCATTAATCGATCCATGAGTTTTTCAAATCCTTCATCCCCCTAGGAAAATAAATTTATACATCAAATAAAAAAGGTTAGTAAGTAAGAAAGTGAGTAAGTAAGTAAGTAAGTAAGTAAGTAAGTTAAGTAAGAAATAATATTCCAAATATAGTGCCAGTGCGTTAATCACTTCTAACACAGCAGGTAGCTAACTTTTTAATTGATTTATTTGGTACAAATTTAATCGCATGCATGTACTATAAAGCTGTGCACTCTGATATGATTATATTTGAAAACATTATTTATTTTGCTCTAAATCGGCACTGCGTGAAAGCCATAGCGCCCTTTAAATTGTTGCACCTCTGACGTAGGAACTTTTTTCCGCTTCCAAGTGAGTCGTGAAAAGCATGGAGTCATACCTTCAGACCACAGGGCTCGCTTGGGAATTGGGATACGTCTTTACGTCAGAGGAAGGACGAAATGTGCGCTACGTTGCCTCTAATTATTATTCAAAAAGTGTCAAATGTTATATCAGGAAAACATTATTTCAGTATGTAGTTATGTTTGCTGTCAGCTGTAACGCAACGCAACCGTCGACTCCAACTATGAAGGAACTTTTAGAGTGTCCAAGGTTCGAAGGCAAACTTCACAATACCTACTGTTGCCTCGACAATAATTCTTGCAGAAAACAAAAAATTCCAAATGTCAACTGACGAGGGAGAACAAGGCATTTTTCGGCGTTCGTAAAGTCAGACTTTTTGCTCGCCGAAGAACCAAAGTTTCTGTAAATGAAATTGAGCCCTGGACGAATTTCATTGAGCTTTGATCACATAATCATCAGAATGTGCTGAATAGTTCTTGATAAGTTGACGAGGTACCATGAGTTAAATGAGGGAGGAAGTTTTTGCGAATCCCAACTGTTCTGCCGTGCTAAGGAAGAATGCTGTATAAGCACTCACGCGTTGCAACATTTCCTTCAATAAAAAACGAATTTACTGGGAAAATTCTAATTTTTTTTCCAGGCATTTATGTTCGCAGTTTTATCTAAGATATCTTGAAAATTTCAAGGAAGAACGAGCATACCTAATTTCTTCAAAAATATAGGTATTTTTATTCGGGGAAATTTGGCAACTCTCGAGTGTTTATACAGCGTCCTTCCTTAGCACGGCAGCGTTATTACTTGCCTATCAAGGTCGTTCCCATTAACCTATTTGACGAAGGCCCAGAGACAAGAGACCCTAGACTAGTATATTGGCCATGGTGGAAGCTTTTATTTTCGGGACTTCAGCATTCTACTGTTGACTTACCGACATGGTTGATGTTTAACAACGTGTTGGCAGTTTCGTTTTGCAAGCAAGTCGAAAATGGCCGAAGTTTAGGAAACTTGTTTGGCCCATGACGTCACCCGAAGCTCATCATCGACCATGTAGGTAGGTCAACAGCCGAAATTATGGTGATGACTGTTGCGCTCCCTTATAATTGTCTATAAGGAACTGTTGAATCCCCGAAAGTAAAAGCTTCCACCTGCCGCCAAGAGGCCAATGGAGGGTCTCTTGTCTCTGCAAAGGCCTTGTCTCCACGGGACGTTTTCATGGGATTTTTCCCAAGTTCGAATCGCAGGAATGAAACTTCTGGGATTTTTCCCAGTTACCGTCTCCACGGGACGGAGCCCATACGGTCCTGCGACTAGTTTCCGCGGGAAGATAAATTAGTTAAAATCGAGTATTTAACCGGGATTAAAATAATAATTGCACTCAATTGACAATTAAATACATTATTTTAACGGAACAAACATGAACAATGGAGTAATCAACAAAGTAACGCACAATGCGTTTTCACTTCTTCTTCCTCTCTCAGTGGGTCCTAGCGGTACAAGGACCAAACTTGGTACTGGTAAAAATATTGATTAACTCAATATTTTTCCCAACTTCGCAAATGGGATTTTTCCCCGGGACAAACCCCATGAAACGGCCCGTGCATGGAGACCAGGCCTTAAAGGTCTCTTGATTTTAGTTTTTCCCCTTATTGTTTTGCGAGTGATAAGCTAAAATTTACCGATTTCGCTGTGAATGACCAATACACTCCGTATCTGATCAACGTGTGGGCTTTGAAAATTTTCGAACCGCTTAATAAGTCATGCACGCGAACTATTAATGAAACTAAACAGCTTGGAATGCTTCTATTTCTACCAAATAGGTAGGGGAGACCGGGGTTATGTTGGCCACGGGGCTATGATAACCATCGTGAGAATTTTGTAGAGGAAAACGTAAATTTGATGTTTTGATGAGAAAAAAGGTTGGCAGCGATGTAGACTAACAATTCAAAATATCAACATCGATGGTGTCCCCCTCTGTTATGTTCTGTGCTGTAACATTCTTGTTTACCTTCGAAAATAGCCCGAAAATGCGATTTTTTTAATTTTGGATTTTGTTTGCTGTGGCGAGTATTTATTTTGTATCTTATTAATCTTTGTTTCTATTTGAAGTAGACCCCTTTCCTTTGATTTTAGTGTATGGATTTATGGCTTTTGACTCCTTGTTTCTTAGTTGGATGACTTTGATTTGAGGTGACCTCAATCGGGGCTATGTGGACCATGTTTCTGGGGCTATGTTGACCTACTAAGAAAACATACATTTTATATTTTTTTTTGCGTAAGGTTTCAAATCCATTTTCTTTGAGTTTAAAACGGTCCTATATAGTGGGGAAGTAGATCTTCTCATTATTTTTTAAGTTGCTTTTCACGCCAACTCACTTATTAAATTTGATACTGTTCTTTAAAAAAATTTTTTTTATTTTTAAATTTTCAGCTCCAAAGGTATTGAGTTTCACAAACATTACGAAAGATAAGTGTAGGGGCATAATACTAAGCTTTTTAAGTGCAATTACAATCAACTGAACAAGGTTAACACAGCTTCCTTACAGGTGGCTAACTTAGCCCCGGGGGTGGCCAATATAGCCCCAAGCGGGGGCTATGTTGACCAAAATGGATTTTCTTTTAAAAACGCATGCAACTCACAAAATTAAAGTATTTTGTACAATGTTTTCAGTTGATTTTAATTTTACACTAAGGACGTCAAGGATTAGAGCATTAAAGAAATGACATTCTATTCTTCTGTTTCTTCAGACACAAGTTTTAAAAAAATCTGGTCAACATAGCCCCGGTCTCCCCTACGTAGAATCCTGTATTGCACTGCGGCATCGTTGCGTTGGCTATTCGCTTCGAAAAACTCCTTCGACTCCCCGCGCGTAGTTCAAATTGCATAAGCAACGGATTGAAGGAACCTCAAATGAGGCCAACAATTCAAGAGTCAAAAGTCACGGTTTGGAATCGGCGGCTGCCATCCATAAATGGACTTTATTTTGCAATTCGGAACTGCAACTTCTGTCTCAGTTTAGAAAAACGCGTTTACCTACCTACCATTGGTTTCCCTACGCACATAAGTGTTTAACAATTAAAGTTCAAAGTGCAAAATTTAGTCAAAATAGGAAGCATATTTGACATCCCCATGCCGTTCTCTAATAGATTTTACAGGGTGTCCCAAAAGTCCGGTCCACGCTTCTAAAATTTTACGTAATTCATATTTTGAAACGAGACTTCGCGGATGTTCGCGGGTCAATGTAAGGTACTTTTGGAACCCTCGAAATTTTTGAGGGGTCCTCGTGATTCGATCGACAGCCGTGAATCAATCGGCAAACCCGTGAATCGACCGAAGTATCCATAAATTGATTGACAACCCCGTGAATCGATCGAATCACGTCGATCGGTTCACGGTCTTATTTTTTTATCAATTTTCGTCGATCGGATCGACACCGTTTTTTTATCATTATTGTCGATTTCATCGGTGTCGATCGGTTCATGTGGATCAATTCACGTTAATATTTTTCGATCGAATCCACACCCTCCTACAATACATTGATCAATATTTTCAAACAAAAATGTGAAGAACTGTCGAAGAAATCAATGTTTTTCATGTTTCCTCGTAACTTTAATTTTGGCGGTTACGCTCTCCTTCAAATAACCCGTTCAGGTACCTACGTTCCCGACCGTATCGGCGAATTGTTTGACAAGTATAACTACGTATCAATTAAATGTAACTTGCCTTAGCCCGCCATTGAAGCCAAAGTTTAAATATGTCATTGTGTCGGCCGCATTGGATAACTTTGTCTCCTGTATCATACTGCACATCGTACAGTTTATCCTGCATGAACAAATACTCTGCGCTCATTTGATTACAGCTGATCAGCAGACCCTGCAAGTCGAAAAAAATCAACGACATAAAATCAGCATGAGAAATTTTAGGAGATTATGCAGATCCTTTGATTGAAGAACCTGGAGTTTTGGGCGAGATAATTAAATTATTATTTTAAAATAAGCTCGTCGCATTCACTCTAATTTAATTTTACATTTTAAAGCTACCTATAGAAAATTTTGAAACGACGGTGAAATTCAAGAAACATAGATTTTGATTGCAGTGTTACAACACTGCCGCCTTTTCTTTGATATTCTTAAAGATTGTCACGTGAAATTTTTGCGCGGATTTTCCGAGAATATTCTTGAGCGGTTAAGGAAAAATTAAACACACCTTCACCAACTTGAATGCGATATGCCTATGTTCTGGGTAGTTTCACAGTTTGGGATGTTCTCGAGATTTTCGTTGAGTGCTTTATTGTTGAATTACCGGAAATGATACCGATCCCCCAAGAATTGGCAACACAGCCTGGAAGGCACCGACATCATACCTAACTACACGCACCTATCTTGCTTATATGCGAGTTTTTAGATTTGATGTACAACAAGTGGATTGCGTTTTGCAAAAAGGAACCAAGAGCATTCCTATGCTGCTAAGATTGTGCAACTCGCATTCCTTGCAATAAAATTACTGAAATCCTGAAAAAAAAAATCAAATTTATAGGGTAATTTTCATCTTGAAATTATATTTTATTGGTAGTAAGATAAACTTGTCTAGATGATCAGTTTAGATTTGCAAGGTAAAAAGAATGGCACAAACTGAGCAACATTGGAATGCTCTTGGTTCCTTTTTGCAAAGACAATCCAAGTGAAAATGTATCAGTGAAATTGCGAACTGCAATTTGCGTCACTTTTAGTAGGGATTTTATTCGGAGGGTATGGATTCGATCGACATGAATCGATCGAAAAATGAAAACGTGAATCGATCGACATGAATCAATCGACACCGATTCGATCGACAAATTGTTAAAAAACCGGTGTCGATTCGATCGACATGAATCGATCGAAAAATGAAAACGTGACTCGATTGACGTGAACCGATCGACACCGATTCGATCGACAGTTAATTCAAAAACACCCGGATCGATTCGATCGACATGAATGGATCGAAGAATCAAAACGTGAATCGATTGACTCCGATTCGATCGACAACCGTGAATGGATCGACAAAAGCCGTGAACCGATCGACAAACCCCGTGAATCGATCGACAAGCCCGTGAATGGATCGACAAACCCGTGAGTCGATTGACAAACCCGTGAATGGATCGACAAACCCGTGAATGGATCGACAAACCCGTGAGTCGATCGACAAACCCGTGAATGGATTGACAAACCCGTGAATAGATCGACAAACCCGTGAATCGATCGAATTTTGTCGATCGAATCGGTGTCGATCGATTCACGTCGATCGATTCACGTTTTGATTTTTCGATCCATTCATGTCGATCGAATCGATCCGGGTGTTTTTGAATTAACTGTCGATCGAATCGGTGTCGATCGAATCGGTGTCGATCGAATCGGTGTCGATCGATTCATGTCGATCGATTCATGTCGATCGAATCGACACCGGTTTTTTAATAATTTGTTGATCGAATTGGTGTCGATCGATTCACGTTTTCATTTTTCGATCGATTCATGTCGATCGAATCGACACCGGTTTTTTAACAATTTGTCGATCGAATCGGTGTCAATCGATTCATGTCGATCGATTCACGTTTTCATTTTTCGATCGATTCATGTCGATCGAATCCATACCCTCCTTTTATTCTTAACATAATATATTTTCATACTTATGCAACTCACCGGTTCTTTGAAATGGACTGTTGAACATTGCAGCAAAGTGCCCATCAGCTTGTGTGGGTTCCAAGTCACTGAGTCGACCCTGGAACAATAATTGATTGATTTATTTATTTATTTGGATGTGCTATCATAGAGGAGCAATGTAGAATATCAGCCCAGACTCTATTCTCCATATGCCAAGGACGTTTTGACGACATCAGACAATACTTGAACATCGACAGAATATTCAATATTCTACCACAATTCGAAAAAAATTGGAGTTGGAATAATTAGTTAATCATTTTTCTCCCCCTCAGATGACGTTCTAAAAAAGTTTCAACTTTCAAATACAAAGAATACCTGTCCAAATTTCTGTTTTAGATGCGATTTTAAAATTCCAAGTGCAAATAACAATAATTGAGGGGCTTGGCAAACAAGTGGAATGAGCGCAGTCATCGCTATTTCAATCATAACGCGTAAAAGGTTGAAAATTACATGGAACCTCATGGAAGAAAGAAAATTCGAACTCAATTTTTGATCATTGAAGTATCACAATCCCAACTATACTCCTGGCTGATTTTGTCGCCAGATATAAGAGAAGTTGCACTAGTCAGAGGTACGCTACGGTTGAGTCTGCCAAAAGTGTGGTTGGTTTAACCATACCTCTGGCTAGTGCAGTTACTCTAATACTCTTATAGGTATGTGGCGCCAAAATCAGGTTGGAGTGTAGTTGGGATTGTGATACTTTTTTTTCAGTGTAATCATTTGGCAATGGCGAATATCAAAAGCAGTGTATCAACCAGTGAATCCCATTTAAGTCAAAGATTTTTGTGACACATAGTTTTCACTTTCAAAATATTTCAGATTTGAATTGCATTACCTCGATATTAACGTGCCCTGAGTACATTGTAGGCACTTCCTATTTTACCGCAATGAGTCAAGATACGTCAGAAAGCAGGAGCAATAAAACTTCGTACACCTGGACCGTCAGAACTTTGTAAGTATATAGTCTTTCATGCAGATTTGTATAACATGTAGCATGTATCCCAATAATGATGTCCCTTTTCAGCAAGTGTACTACGATTGGCATTTTCAGCATCAAGTTGCCAAACACCTAGAACTTGTTCCGTTTGGGACCAAACAGTTTGTGTGAAGAGCTGTATGCAAATACCAGCATAGCTGCTTTAAATCTCCAGGATTCTCTTGAAATTTTTAACAATGGATTGACGCAGAGGGCACAGTCGGTTTTATATGTTTGCCCTGATAACGATTTCTTAACATCATAATATAAAATCATCATCACCTTTCAATTCCAGATAACCGTGGGTGCCTATATTTCTTCGAGAACAGCAATCCGCCTCCCCAGGCTGCCTGCAAAAAAAAATGCGAAAGAGAAAATTAGGCAATATGCAATGGAAAATAAATTGAAACTTATGTCAATTGTATTGCACTTCAATGAGAAGAGCTCCTTCAATCATCGAATAGACAACATACACAAAACTCCGGAACAATGGCAATAATTTTACCATGTAATTGCCATTAACTTGCAATCGGTGCTAGCTGAGCATTGAATACTCAAAATCGAAAGACGTTTTGGAGAAGTTGGCATAACTTCGTCTCCCCGACAAAAGGGCGTAGTTCCATTCCAAGATTGTAAAATTGACGCAAAAATTCAATTTTCACAAAAATGTACTCGTGCAATTTTTGTCTCAAATTGTTTTCAGATTTTTGTGTGAGATCAGAAAAAAACAGCGATGAAATTTTCAGTTAGAGGTGCCTAAAGATCTCCTGGTGAAAATTTAATTTGTGAGGTTGGCAGCATTGCAATATAGTTACGTTTTTTTGTAAGGGAAACGACGACAATTAATTGCACAATCGTCTTATCTACCAGGATACTTATAATTGACACTTGAAACATTCATGACGGCGTTCCATGTTTTGAACACAAGGAAATGGGACAATGAATGACGAGAGTGCACTTACATCAACATGACACCAGAGCTTATATTTTTGGCAGATATCTACTATTTCGTTGATTGGATCGAAGGCTCCCAAGACAGTAGTGCCAGAGGTGCAATTTACAAAGAAGGGGACGTCTCCCCTCGATTTCCTCTCAATTACCAGTCGCTCCAGTTCCGCGGGTATCATTCGCCCTCTGTAATAAAGGAAAATAAAGTCATGAGAATAAATATTTGCTCCTAAAAAAAAACTGAATGGATTATTAGACAGGGGAAGGAGTGGATCAATTGCGCTGGTCACAGAAGAGTGTTTTGAAGCTTTATCCTTGTGGATCAGCTAGAAATAATAAGATCTAGGCGAACAGCAACGTTCTACCTTCAATATTAACCTAGGTATATCGCGCTTTGAAAAATTCGGTTTATGACGTCATTCACCACGATAGTGACACCCTTGGTTTCTTCCATCGTCGTTTCATCAGTCAGGCCCTGGTAAAAATGGCAAGTGCTCAGATCAGTAGCACTTGCCTTTGAAACAGACGTAAACACTGATGTCAGTGCTGCTGGGCGCTGATCTGCTACGTCAGTGTTAGGTCTGTTCCAAAGGCAAGTGTCTCTGATGTAAGTGGCACTGACCTAAGTGTCTCCGACGCAAGCGGAGTGGAAACTCCCAGAAATACTGTAGAGGCAAAAGTTTTGTTAATTATCGATCCGCCAGGTACGTTAATTCACTATTTGACTACCAGGAAGGGCTGCTATGATTTCTCAATCAAAGGTAATTAACACAATCATCAGTCATAGAGTACATAGAGTCGTGATGTAAATGGGAGAGCTGGCGCCATGTTCTGCTCGACGAATTCCGAACCCGGTGTGCGCCGAGTTCGGGTCGCTTTTTCGATACATTTTCGATTCAAAATGGCGGTGCGGAATACGCACAGATTAGTCGGTAATTCCTATCTCCGTTGTTGTTGTTGTTGTTGTTGTTGTTGTTGTTGTTGTTGTCATCGGATGGTCGGGTACCCGTGTATCGCAAACAATCGATTATGTATCGAAAAAGTGACCCGGCGTCACAACAGGAGTCTCGGAATTCGGGACATGGAAAATGCTTAAAAGTGGCGCCAGCTCTCCCAATTACATTACGATTCTATGTACTCTATGTCATCAGTGGACAACGCTCGTTCCCATGCGGTTTCCAATTTATGTACTGACTACGCCCGACGTAGCTTAACCTCGGAGATCGACCTCGCGACTGAACCATTACTCTACCTGCGCGTGTAAAAGTCAAGGGCGTAATTATGCCATTTCAGGGCACCCAGGAGTAAGCCACCGAATAATGATTTTGTCTTTGAATTTGAATCCGATACTTGACTTTTTTATTATATTTTTTAATCAATCAACATGTAAATGAAGTTTTTTAAGTTATGTTTCTTTGAAAAAAAAATGGAACGCATTATAATTCAAAATTATAGCTGAGGATGTAAAAAAAATAATTTAAGTTGAAATGATACAAAAAATATAAATTAGCAGTCACAAAAATTGAAAGTAATGGAGTAAAAAGTTGGAAAAGAATCAAAAATAAATTTGGAAAATTTAAAAAAAAATTAAGACTGAAACATTTCAAAAAGAGTTAAAACTGAAAAAAATTAAGACCCAATTTAGAACATTTTTTTTAAAAAAAAAAAAAACTCGTAAGTTTAAAAAAATAATAATGCTCAAGTAAATACATCTAAATACATATTATAATAGAATGTGATAATATTTTTACCGATCTCGTTTTTTTGTGTTTTAATTATTTACGTGCCATCATAAACGAAGAAGGTAAAACAAATTATTCAAGAGTGTTGATACCGAAACAAGTTTTTCTTCCCTCTTAGAAAATCCCCCCCTTCTAAAAAATATGCCTCTCCGTATGATAAAGTTTGTGGTCCCCGTATCCCGAGGGAATATTCATCCACGAAAATGAAATAGGGTAGGGGAAGGGGGAGCCATCTCTACTTTTTGGGAGTGAGTGCGGTTCGATTAAAACTGATGTCAGAGAATTACCCTCTGAACCAAGTCCTGACCTCAGTCCCGCTCACCCCAGAGATATCTCTGCACTTAGTGCCTCTTACCTCATCAGTGCTGACTTCTTGGGTAAGTGCTTCAACACTTACGTCAGAGAAAACTGAACTGACCTCAGAGCAAATTGCACTGACCTCAGTGGAAAATTCACTGATCTAACACTTGCCATTTTTACCAGGGGGGGGGGGGGGGGACACATATTTTGTACCGGTTTCTCACCGTGAAACTTGGATGAAACTAAGGTGGAAGAAACTAAGGATGTCACAACCGCGGTGGATGACGCCACAAACCGATTTTTCAAGGCGCAATATCTCTGTTAATATTGAACGTAAAAAATTGTTGTGTGGACCGATCTGATTAATTCTAGCTGGTCTACAAGAATGAAGCTTCAAAATACGATTCTGTGACCAGCGCAACTGACCCCTTGTCACTCGTCTTCTACAAGGGCGTATCTCGATTTCTACGTGAACCATGTTCTCCGTATCGCACTCAATGCTTTCCGCAGCTCATGCAGAAATCTGGATACGCCCATGTCAGAGGAGCGACAAAGTAAGTACTGCAGCACACATTTTGCCATCGAAAATTTCATGCAGGGCACTCTAAACGTATGTATTACTAGCCGTTCTGGACGGGTCCATTTCCACAGCCCCCCCCCCCCCCTTCGAATCTTAAACCAAAAATTATATCATAATTTTGTGCTAATTTTGTGCTATTTTGTGCCGCAAATTAAAAATTTTGTGCTGCAAAATTAAGGGGGGAAACGCTCCTCAAAATTGGGGGGGCTGTAGAAACGGTAGCCCCCCCACTTTCGAATTTTCGAAAAAAAAGAATGTCATAATTTTGTGCTAATTTTGTGCTATTTTGTGCCGCAAAATTAAGGGGGGTAGCAGCATTCCAAATTGGGGGGGGGGGCTGTAGAAATGTTTGCCCCCTGTTTTGATTTCTCGGAAAAGGAGTATGTCATAATTTAGTGCTAATTTTGTGCTATTTTGTGCCGCAGCGAAACATGCAATTTTTTCAAATTTAAGGGGGGTAACGGGCACATCAAATTTTGGGGGGGCTGTAGAAATGTAAGCCCCCCTTTTTGATTTCTTTGAAATGGAGTATGCCGTAAGTGTTTGTGAATTTTGTGCTATTTTGTGCCGCAGAAGAACGCTTCATTTTTGTAAATTTAGGGGAGTAAGCGGGCACATCAAATTTTGGGGGGGGGCTGTGGAAATGTTTGCCCCCCTTTTTGATTTCTTGAAAAAAAAGTATGCCGTAATACTCTCATAATTTTGTGCTATTTTGTGCCGCAAAAAGAAAATTATGTGCTCCAAAATTAGGGGGTTTAAATACCACCCCAAATTAAGGGGGAGGGTCGCAGGTGCGGCAGCCCCCACTTTCGAATTTCGAGAAAAAAAGCACGTGATAATTTTGTGCTAATTTTGTGCTATTTTGTGCCGCAGAAAGAAAATTTTGTGCTCCAATATCCCGTGCAAAGAGCGCCGGATCTCCCGCCTGGATCTCCCGCCCGGATCTTTCTTGAGTTGCCACGGTGCTTGGCCCTTCCCGTCTGTCAGAGGAGCGACAAATTAAGTACTGCAGCACACATTTTGCCATCGAAAATTTCATGCAGGGCACTCTAAACGTATGTATTACTAGCCGTTCTGGATGGGTCCATTTCCACAGCCCCCCCACATTCGAATCTTAAACCAAAAATTATATCATAATTTTGTGCTATTTTGTGCCGCAAATTAAAAATTTTGTGCTGCAAAATTAAGGGGGGAAACGCTCCTCAAAATTGGGGGGGGCTGTAGAAACGGTAGCCCCCCCACTTTCGAATTTTCGAATTTTCGAAAAAAAAGAATGTCATAATTTTGTGCTAATTTTGTGCTAATTTTGTGCTAATTTTGTGCTATTTTGTGCTAATTTTGTGCTATTTTGTGCCGCAAAATTAAGGGGGGTAGCAGCATTCCAAATTGGAGGGGGGGGCTGTAGAAATGTTTGCCCCCTGTTTTGATTTCTCGGAAAAGGAGTATGCCATAATTTAGTGCTAATTGTGTGCTATTTTGTGCCGCAGCGAAACATTCAATTTTTTCAAATGAGACATTTATCCTAATCATTAAGGAGCCTTTTCGGGGGATATATACCGTTGGGTGTCAGCGAGTTCCAAATCGAATGTTATTACCACGCTGCGCTGCCAAAAGTTCCGGCTACCTGCGAGCCTGTGACTCCGGAGCGGAAGATTCGGGTTCCGCCGGAGCGCTAACTTGTTTTACAGTCCCCGCCCCTCCCATTTCAAGTGGTATTTAATCCCCCTAATTTTGGAGCACAAAATTTTCTTTTTGCGGCACAAAATAGCACAAAACTAGCACAAAATTATGACGTAATTTTTTTCTCGAAATTCGAAAGTGGGGGGCTATCGTTTCTACAGCCTCCCCCCCCCCTCCAATTTGAAATGGTATTTAACCCCTTAATTTTGGAGCACAAAATTTTCTTTTTGCGGCGCAAAATAGCACAAAATTATGACGTGCTTTTTTTCTCGAAATTCGGGGGGGGGGGGCTGCCGCACCTGCGACCTCCCCCTTAAATTTGGGGTGGTATTTAAGCCCCCTAATTTTGGAGCACAAAATTTTCTATTTGCGGCACAAAATAGCACAAAATTATGAGAGTATTACGGCACACTTTTTTTTCAAGAAATCAAAAAGGGGAGCAAAAATTTCCACAGCCCCCCCCCCAAATTTGATGTGCCCGTTTACCCCCCTAAATTTACAAAAATGAATAATATCTCTACGGCACAAAATAGCACAAAATTAAAGCAGAAGCATGGCATACTCCACTTTCAAGAAATCGAAGAGAGGGGCAAACATTTCCACAGCCCCCCCAATTTTGAAATACCAATTTTTCCCCCTTCAATTTGAAAAAATTGAAAGTCTTGCTATGGCACAAAATAGCACAAAATTAGTACAAAATTATGGCATACTCCTTCTCCGAGAAATCGAAACAGGGGGCAAACATTTCTACAGCCGCCCCAATTTGGAATGCTGCTACCCCCCTTAATTTTGCGGCACACAATTTTTTTCTTGCGGCACAAAATAGCACAAAATTAGCACAAAATTATGGCATTCTTTTTTTTTCGAAAATTCGAAAGTGGGGGGGCTACCGTTTCTACAGCCCCCCCCCAATTTTCAGGAGCGTTTCCCCCCTTAATTTTGCAGCACAACATTTTTAATTTGCGGCACAAAATAGCACAAAATTAGCACAATATTATGATATAATTTTTGGTTTAAGATTCGAATGTAGGGGGGCTGTGGAAATGGACCCGTTCGGGGTGCGCTTTGCGCGTCCGTCACGGCCAGCCAAGGGGCTGCGCCCCCTGGACCCCCGATCACTCGCTACGCGAGAAACATTCGCCTCGCTCCGCGAGCCATTTTACTCAGTGATTGGACATTTGATCACTAAGATGTATACATTTTGGAGACTCAGGAGGCAAAAATGATTTCGTCACAGAACTTTGTTGCCGGAGCGTGCCATCATTTGCACATGAATAGATGTGTGGAGATGAAGCGATGATGGGGATCGATCATTTCTTCAAAAACGCATTTGACTGGGACGTCATCCCATCGGGTGACGGAAAAAGACAATCAATGGTTCTTCTTCCACGATTTGACTTGCTGAAGTGGCAAAAGTTCATCTTTACCTCTTAAGAAAATTATCGGTGGCGTAGGGGTCTAAAAACTGCTCAACGATAGCATAGTTCGAGTTCCGAATCGCAATGAACCCACTCGTGTTATTTTTTTTTTTTTTTTTTTTTTTTTTTTTTTTTTTTTTTTTTTNTTTTTTTTTTTTTTATACTTTCATCGCATATAAATTTCTCTGATGTTTTTGTTTTATTCTCTCTTATTGCATATTAGTATAAATCATATCCTCATTTCATTTCATTTCCTTTCCCTTTCCTTTTTCCCTTTCTGTGGCATCTGTGTCCATTTACAATTATTATTTTAAAATAGCTTTCCCTTAGTATACAATGGGCCTGTTGCATGCAAGAGATACAGCCGCGCGAATAGACTTTTTAGCGGTTAAATGACACGAAAATTACGATGGTCACATTGAAAAAGTCTGAAATACACTCCTTACTGCGCAATTTGCGTTGCTAGGAACGCGCTTTTTCAAATTTCCCGCGTCTGGGGGCAGTTTTCTAATCACCGGAAACGAGCAAACGGCGGGCTCGGTGCTTTCCGGAGTCGTTGTTGTTGTTGTTATTTTTTCCTTCAGTTTGTTTACAAATCCGACGTGATCTCTTACAGTGGTCCTTTATGAGGTAACCAAATCGATTAACTTTTAAATATCCAACGCAATTCTTCTACATTTCATTTCACGATGTCACGAGCTCCGATTTTTAGGTTATGTTGTCAGTTTTAGTTGACCGGAAATAGCCGCGAGTTCCCGTTAATTTTTTCCGTTAGAAAACTGCCCCCAGACGCGGGAAATTTGAAAAAGCGCGTTAATAACAACGCAAATTGCGCAGTAAGGAGTGTATTTCAGACTTTTTAAATGTGACCATCGTAATTTTCGTGTCATTTAACCTCTAATAAGTCTATTCGCACGGCTGTATCTCTTGCATGCAACAGGCCAATTGCTGCTTCAAACGGAATCAATTGTTTTAATGACATTTCCGGCTAAATCATGGGTTTTCCCAGGAAGGCAGCCTCTCTTCCCTCCCGGACTCTATTGTTGCCAGATAAGTTGCTTTATTAACACTTTTCCCAATTAAAATCCATGTAACACATTCACATTTATCGCACAATCTGGCAACCTCTCGAGTGAAATAGAAAAAGGTAGAATCGCTGAAAGTCTGAATCCTTCGAAGTTTATATTAATGATGATGATGATGATGATGATTGCTAACTTCACTCTGGATGTTTTAAGACCTACCTTCAAAAATGAAGGCAAAATAGGAAGTTGCATAGCCTCTTAGAACCCGCTTTAGATAATTTTTCCTTATTTCCTTTTGTGCTAAATTTTTGGAATTCTCTATTCCACGCTTACAGCGAAAAAATGGGCTCCATGAAGCTATGCAAATTCCAATTTTGCCTTCAATTTTGAGGGTAGGCCACAAAAACCCAGAACTTTCTCAATGAATGATAGAACGAGAGCCCTTCAAACACAAGTGATCGATAATGAGATTTAAAAGACTCTAATAAAAGAGGAAATTCCGAAATACTGTTATTGAAATATTCATTTCCAAATGAATTCTAGAATCTATCGGCCGTGAGCCCGGAAGGGGTTGTAGTTATAGAATGTACCTTTTATCAGATGGAACCTCAACGCAATTATCGGTACCAAGTCCACAAACAGCTGCGCAGCTCCTCACTGAATAATGACACTGAGAATAACAGAAAGAAGAGATAAAACATAAGTTTAGTCTCGGAATGAGTTCTTGAATATTCCGAGAATATGTTGGTCATGTCAGTCATCTAGGTAAACATGAACCACATTATAGTTTTGAACTTTTATTATTTCATCGGAATTTCACAATGGGAAAACAGTAATGAAAGTTCTTAAGTTCAGAGTAGTTTAGTGTAGATTTTTGAAAATTACAAATACATCTAACGTGAGTGGTCTTACAAGAAATGTCGCTCCCCCTTACAATTGACAGACTTGAGTAGTGTAAAAAATTAATTCAACCAATCTTTTTTACTCCTACTAAGACATTACTAGCTTTGATAGAGTGAGCCTGCATAACAGAGCGTCATTTGTTTGCTGCTGAAAAAACTATACTTACCTTGACTTCTGGAGACTTGCAAAATTTTTCTAGTGAAATATAAATACCCAAGTAGCATGGTGCTATGAAAATATTGAAATAAAATTGCGATTGAATACAATAAGATTCCAGTATTTTTACGTCATTCATCGTACTAAAATACCGATTTTAAACGACCTATAACAATCTTGCTAAATGTATCAAAAAGATAGGCACTTTGCAATACCGAAAAAATTGCATATATCAATTTTATTGCAGTACACGTCAATAAAAGACGTCTCCTCAATTAGTCGATAGGCAACACGCACGACGACTCTGATGCAGTAGAAATAATTTTACAATGTTACTGCAATGTATTGTAATTTTTACTAATTGGGAGTATGTATAGTGTGAAAACATGTTAAATTTTCCGCTTATAGAGTATACATCATATTTCCTTCATGATATTTTTATTGATACCTACCTACTTTGCGGATACAAAGTATCTAGACTACGGTGTAAGATAGGAGCAAAAGTGACAAGAAAGTCGTTCGTAAACATGCAAGTATACCACGGAGAGACCACAGAACACATTGAACATGCTAAAGAGAATTACCTACTCGATATTAAACGGTTCTGATTTTGTCCCGTACCTGGTCTGATGTGAACATAACCAGATGACCTTTGATAGAATGGAGACCATTCTTCTTGTAACCAGGGAACATCTTATGTCTTGCCGCTAAAAAAGCATATAAGTTTGATATCGAGCCACCTGGAACCAAAGAGTAAGACAGAAGGCTCATTTGCTAAACTATAATCGCATTTCAAAACATGAAAATCATAAGCATTGTGCTTAGTAAAAACACCATATGAACCTTCAGGCGTTGCCTTTCCTTTGATAAAATACGAATTTATGAGGGATGTTGTAAATGTTCGTCTTCTAATTTTTCAGACAATTTCGCTCGCGATTTAATCTAAAATATTTGACAATCTTAAGAAAAACAATGCATAGCTCTATATCAAAATAAATTTTTGATGAAATAATATTTCTTATAATTTTATATATTATTTCAATTTTAAAGTCGATGATTTTTCAATGGTACAGAAATTTTCAGAGATAGTTTGAGCCAGAAAGTTAGGTAATCTGTTCTCCATTTTTAAAAATTAAGCAAATTTAAAAACCTCGCATCCAAATTGTAATTCATGATTTAATCATCGAAATATTACACAAAATATTTTACTGTACCCACCCTACCCCTCTCCTCTTCTGAATATATATGGCATGGCTTTACATAAGAGATAATTTTTAATGATAAACATGTATTTAACAATAATTAGTGAATTTGCAGTGCATTAATAAATAAAAACATTTTAGTTCTAGGAATGAAAGCTTTGAGACGTCATAAATTTTTGATCATGAAGGTTACGTACCGGGAGCCAAAATAGAGTCTCCGTCCTTCCATCCTATGATATCTCTCATTTTTTCAAGAATGACGCTCTCCATAAGTATGAAAACGGGAGCAATTTCATATGTAAACATGTTTGTATTGGCAGTAGCAGTCAACCATTCTCCAGCCATTGAAACCAAATCCAGTCCGCATGATAACTGGTTGAAAAATCGAGGATGCCCTGGAACAAAAGACATAGAGAGAATGTTAAAATACATACCTCGGTGGGAAGACACATCAATAATTGGATTTAAAGCCTTTCGCTAAATTTACATACAGTAGAATTGGTTTCTGTGAAATGGGCGTAATTCCAAAAATTCATGAGCCCTGCAACTTGCGTGATCAGAGATCACGCAAGCTGCTACCTAGGGCTCATGAGTTTTTGAATACGCCCGTCTAGCAGAAACCGATTTAGTTAATATGAAAGAGATGCAATGACGCTTTTGGGTTTTTGTCTAAAATCAACTCTCAAGCTGAAAAAAAGTTTTTTAAGAACGTGGCTCAATAATGAAGCATCAGTAGGTACTCTATGAAGGAGTCCTCCATTTCTGCATTCGGCAATCGGTAAATTTTATATTACGCTGATTCAGTGATTCATAGGGGTAGTTGGGGAGGCTGGCCCCTCCTAGTTTACTCGGATCCCTCCATAAAATGAGAGGAATTTCGCTAAGAGTTGTGCCTTCCAACTTTTGAACTTAAAAACTTTTGAGCTTGTGCAAAGTTATAAGTCCTAAATTTTGGTAATGGAGAATCTGCGGGTGTCTACAGTTTTTTTAATGTCATACTTGTTAAAGAAGAAATGAGTGAACTGAGCATGAGGATATGTATCCTTGGTTCCTAAAATGCACAATTATTTTTTAGCGGCTCTAGAGCTGCTATTCCGGTCGGTCTCTGCAGTGGATGTTACCAATGGTACATCTACCATTGGTTAGAGCGCGCGTTGGTAGATGGGAATCGTCGCCATTTTCGGCTGTGGACCTTGCCATGATTTTATTTTAATTCTTTGTTTTCTCTTGTGAGCGAATGATATGTTGTGTAGTGTATTTTTGGAATCATGGTAATACTGTCGATAATTCAAAACTGGTCTGCGCTTTAATCTCGTATTGAAAAAAATGTACTTAACGTTTAAAATCTGAATTTTCAAAACGACAACTTTTCGCGCTTTTTTGGAAGAATGCCGTGGTTGGAGCCTCATAGTCGCACTAGAGTACCTTTATAGACAGAGTGTGGCCATTCGTATCTTTTTACTACAAGAAAACTGTTCCGCTTTTTGATTGATCATCGAGTTTTTAGGCTTCATGATGCTCTTACGGCCGTAAATGAACAAACAAGATGGCGGCTCACCGTAACATCGATAAGAAGCTAAATTTGACAAAAATTTTAATTATGCGGCAGTAACAATTTAAACTAGCATATCTACGAATAACACACGAAAAACACATGAAAACATAGTTAAGTCGCCTTTCACCTTTATCACAGGAGAATGTAAGATATGTGCATAACCTCAATCTTCCTTGCTGATAACAGCCATCTTGTTTGTTTATTTACGGCCGTAAGAACATCGTGTCAGCCTATTTTCACGCAACCAATGAAAAACTGGAACAGCAATGGCCATACTCTGTCTATAAAGGTACTCTAAGTCGCACGACTTCATGGACGGATTCGTCCCTAGCGGCGTTGTTGTGTATTAATGCCTAAAATGCTAAGTCGGGTTCTGTTCACTCGATTTTCGTGAAACTCGGTTTCCGAAAGTATATTTCAACGGGAAATTCGAATTTTTGGTCAGATTTTCAAAATTTCAAAATCCAAGATGTCGGCCATGGCCTAAAATGCCAAGTCGGCTCCTATTCACTCGATTTTCGTGAGACTCAGTATCCGGAGATATTTTTCAACGGGAAACTCGAATTTATAGTCAGATTTTCAAAATCTCAAAATCCAAGATGGTAACCGTGGCCTAAAATGCTAAGTCTCCTCTTGTTCGCTCGATTTTCGTAAGACTCGGTATCCTGCGATATTCTCCAACGGGAAACTCGAATTTTTGGTCAGATTTTCAAAATTTCAAAACCCAATATGGCGGTCGTGGCTTAAAATGCTAAGTTTGCTGATTGTGGATGAGGACAAAGATAAAATATTCGCCACTATTCACCATACTTTGTTAAAAAAAAGTAAATTCGTTCTTTTAAAAGTTAATAGCTTTGAGGGGCGGCTCGCGGAACGAGTCGCGAGTTCATCGCGAAGCGAGGAACTGGGGGTCCAGGGGCACTCCCCGGCTAGGCGTGACAGCTCACACAGCGAGCTGAACACGGCTAGAAGCAGTTTATATATGTCTTGGATATGAGCGGCCCAGAGCCGCTCTCCAGCGGCAGTGCGCTGGAGTTACTGCTTGTTTTTTCTCTGGTGGTTTAATGGCTTATCGACGGTGTATGTACGTCGGCAATCACATAACTCGTTTGTGGTGTCTGAAAATCTCCACCTCTATGTTATTTTCTTAAAGGAGAACAAACTGACATCATTCCTTGAAGTTTTTGCAGAATTTTTTTTGCACAGAGAAGAAAAATCACGGCAGTTTTAAAGAATTGCCGTTGAGTAGTTTTCCGTTTAAAAAGTAAAGTATGACAGGAAATCTGCGACGTCGCAAATCGAGTCATATGTGATTGCCGACTTACACCGTCGTTATATCCCAGTGGGTCCTAAAGCCAATATGAAGAATTAGGTATTTGCGGAGATATGACGAAGTACCTAATCTGCTAAGATACTTGTGTTTAAAAGGGAAATGCTGCCTGATGACGTAACAAGGTGGCAGATTGTCTCACTTTTAAATCTACTTTTCCTCTATTTCTGACACTGGAGCAAAATCATGAAAAGTATACCGCGAACGTAGCTCATTAAGCAAACTTAGATGCAGGATGCAGCAATAAAGTTTTTTCGTGCAAAAAACTCGTGGTCGTAGAACTTGCGATTTTTAGGAGAATGAACATGCTAATTTTAAATATTGATACCTATTGGCGATGTTCACGAACTGTGGATTTTTAGAATGATCTTTCAAAAAAGGGCAATAAAAGGACTTTTTTGGGGAAACTGTGTGACTCTCGACCTCGCCTCATTTCAAGCCGTCGCAAATTGAGAATCTCCCGACTCTTTAAGAAACTCGTGAAAAATATCAATTAGTAAAATGTTTCCCTCAAATTCTTTAAACTTTTTTGTTAGTCGATTAAGAAAAAACACAATTCAATTATCTTCGCGGTGTTGCCAAATTGTGCGAAAGAGAAAGTTTTGCTGGATGATTTTGTGCGGAAATGTCAATCTAGGTTTTTGTGCGAAATTGTCAATGCGGGTTTTTGTGCAAAATGTCGAACTCGGAAATCTTGTGCGGAAACGTAAATCCACCAATCCACCAATCCACCGACCCATGCCGCAAGAGAGTGTAATTTTCAGCTACCCCCACGCTTTTCTTGCCATTGTTTTAATGAGCCATCAAACACTAAAAATGCGGGTGGCTCTTGGAGACCTAAGCCCTCGGTCGTTACCTTATAATTGAAAACAATGAAAGTGGAAGGTCGAACCTCGAGCATCATATATCGCGTCTAGTGTAGCGGATGATTGTGGGAATGGATCATCCGGAATCCTCGTCTATCCCAGCTCCGAGGAGGGGAGATAAAGGGAAAGCAGGGACGTAATCGGTATGGGATTGTTAAAAGGGATAGTGATGGAGGGGCCCGTCGAATTAGCCCGCTGGCCTGGAAAAAGACGCGGAATTTCCCTTCCGGCCTGTGAAGGACAGAAGTACTCATGTCTCAAACACAGCCATGTTGCCACATTGAATGGAAAAACCACCCAAGTAACATTTTTCAACGAAAACCCCCCGATATTTTGATATTGAGTCGCCATTTTCTTTACGATTTTTTGGCGATAAAATCGATAGGACCATCAACAACTAAGCGAATATCCTCAGTCTTGCGTGATTTTATCTCTATAAAATCACGTTCGCTAAAATTGAAATTTTATCTCAATTTTTCACAATTTTTTGTTCGATAATATTGCAATAAAGCGCCGTCGATTGAATCGCGATTTTCTTGTTCGTGCGATGAGATCACAATGTATCGCAATTTTTCATCCATAACAATATTGCAATAAATCGACGTCAATAAAATCTCGATACATTCTCCGATCAAGTCGCAACTTATCGCAATCACTGCTACTTTGGAACGGGGTATCATGGAAGCTGCGAATCTCTTGAGCTCTAAGATGACTTGGCATCGGTGGGATTCCGTTCGCATTTTGTGCACATCACGACTAACATCTCATGACATAAATTCAATTCAGACCCTCATTTTTCCCGGCAATGCAAAGCTCACCTCGCCTATTCACATTTCTCTCTCTCTTTACAGGGAGCTCCTAATCAGCCATTTTTCCTCGAGGTTGGTTTTTTCATTAACCCTCTCGTTTCTATCAATTCAGAAATACCTACAACTTTGTCGATCCGCGACGGATTGGGTTCTTAACGTTCTTAACGTTCTTAACGTCAGTTTGTGCGTGTCAAAAAGGAACACATCGATGGCTAAAGCATAGACGGATCCAGACACCTCGAACGGAAGGGCATAAGGGGGTTCTAGGAGCCTCCTCCAGAAAATTTTTGAAATTGTGAAGTATCTTTTATGCAGTTTAAGTCGATCCAGTTATGAATAATTGACAAATATAAGCGTATCTCCTTCTTTCTTTCCTCCATGCCTTTCTTTTTTTCTTCCTCATTTTTTCAGGCAAACGGGGGGGGGGGGGGGNGCCTCCTACGCCCCCCCCCCCTTGGATCCGCCTATGGGCAAAAATGGGAAACTACATATTCCCACTGCAGTATTTCAAAATGTCCGTTCCTAATGATTTTTCTCGAATAGAAACAAGCAAACTTCATAGCTTGACCTTTATCCAGAATATTCCGCCAACATATAAGAAAAATCAAGAAAGATTTTAAGAAATTATGTTGACTACTTTCCAAAGGAAAAAATAAAATATGACAGGAAGTCTGCAACGTCGCAAGCAGAGATACGGAGTTTGTCGCTGTGACCATTAACACTCAAATACGAATGTGTACCTACATTGCGCTGATACAGCACATAGTGAACTTTTGCGCTTCTCCGGAATACAGACTCCTCTGTTTTACGTCTAACGAAACAATTACTTTGCTGG